TGCAATTGTAATTAACTACGCCGGTAGCAACAACAAGCTGTTTCCTCCATGCCGTTGGCTAGCAATTGTGCTTTATTATTATTATTACTATTACTATTACTACTTCAGCTGGGCTGTGTCTTGATTTGATCTTGGCGCGCTTAGCAACAAAAGTTGCCAAGCTGTCGGTTATCGCTGCAAACAGGTTTTTCGAGTTTGTTTTGTTTTTTTTTTTTTTTTTGTTGCTGACGGCGACGTCAGCAGCGCAGCGGCAGTAAAGCTGTGAGTGAGCTTTCAGATTTAAATACATACATACATATGTATGTATGTATTTACTTTGTAAATCAGTGTGCATATGGATGTGTGTGCGTGTGCATCCCTCGCCGTCTGCTTTTTATTATAATTGTTTTTTGTTTTTTTTTTTGTTTGTTTGCACATTGCAGTTCGCATAAATTACTTTTGAGGAAATCTCCCTGACAGTTGTGAATTAGTTGCATTCTCTGCGCTGATCGATTTGCTCAACATTTGAAATGCTTTAAAGCTATTTTGTAGCTTTTATTTGTTGTTGTTGCCCCTGCTCCGTGCTGTGGGCATGTTCACAATTCAATTCAAAATTCAAATCATTCATAGCCCAACGTCGCGTCGTCTGCGTGCGGGGTCTTCGCGCTCTCGCCCATATCCGCTTGAAACTACTGCGAAACAAGAACAACAAAAGAAATGCACAGCAACATTTTTCTGTTCTTTTTGCTCTCTGCTTTTTGCTGTGTCAGCAACATGAGGAGCGACATTGTTGCTGCAGTCGCATTCCAGGCTCCAAAAAAAAAAACTAAAATGGCCGCTGGGCAACATTCTTGCTGGGGTCTCCAGTAAGGTCTGCTGCTTGTCTAGCCAGCAGACTGATGATGATGTTCATTATCGTGTTTGGTGGTTGGGTAAGATTTTTTTTTTTGTTTTTGTTTTTTTTTTGCAGCAGCGAAACGTGTATTGATAATGGAACACTTCGCCACAATGCATGCAACATGTTGCCAAAGGTGGTTGCCCACTATGGCAACGCTTGGCTGCCATTGCCCTTCGCCCTCGCCCCTCGCCAGCCCAATTCCATCCCGTTCTCGCTTCTGCTTTGCGTGGTTTCGATTTCGTTCATTGCGGTCGCTCGCTCGATGCACTTGGACTTGGACTTGAAATATTGAACGTGGATCTGCAAGATTTGTTGTTGCAGTTGTTGTTGTTAATTGAACTTTGGAGCTCGGTGATGTAGTTGTTGCTTTTATGCCTTTTGCTTGCAGTCTCCAACTTCTTTGTGGTCTCTTCTGCACCACGTCTCCCTCTGTCTCTCGACTGTTTGCACAGTTGCCATGGCAAATGGCAAAATACACACACACAATGTTTACAATCAGCATATGTGCAAATATGTGGCATTTATGTGTATACATATGTAGAATGTATATGTGTGTGTTTGATTTGGCAATGAGGGAGACGGATTAGAGTAACGGTTGATAAGCTGTATCAAAAATTTTTCTTAATTTAATATATGCATTTTTTTCTGTTTGTTGTTTTGCTGTTATTTTTGTAATTTGATCAAAGGCAGTCAAAATATGGCTGGGCCAACATTTTGATTGCAACAAATGCGACTGCGACGGCGACAGCGTCTCTACTTCGTTTGGTTCAATGAACGCGCGCACGCTCCAGCGGAAGAGCCAAATTAACAACGGAAGCTGAAATTCCGCATGGTTTGGGGTTTGGGCAGGGATCGAGGCCGAGAGGAAAGAGTCGTATCTTTCGCCCCCGCCAGCTCTGTCGCGCTAGTTCAGCGCAGAGCTTTATCAGCGATAGCTTTTTTATTTATTTTTTATTTTATTATTTTTTTTTTATTTATTATTTTTTTTTTTTTAGCTGTACCTTTATAGGGAAGACTATTTAGTGGAGAAGATTAAAATCGTTGGCTGTACATATATGGCAGCCTGTGGCTTGGACCCACGCTTCATGGGGCGCATCAACGAACGGTCAGGAAATAAGCCATCCGTTATAACGGAGGGTAAGCCATAGCTTAATATTTGTATTCCTTTTATATATAATTTTACCCTAACCTAACCGTCCTTGTGCTGTGAAGTGTCACGCGCTCAACGTTATCTGGCATCCTCAATATCGATTGCCGAAAATCCGGCTGTACCCAATGAGGAAGTGGTTTTTGTTTTAACTACATTTGCATTGGATCTGCTGCGAACACTTTGGACGTGGCGCAATGTCTACACAAATATACTTGATCGTAGCCTGTTCACCGGAAATATGAAAATYGGTATATCCTGTGGTGAGGTGATGGCAGGAGTCGTTGGTGCTTCCCAGGTTCACTACGATATATGGGGCACTCCAGTGAACATGGCCTCGCGCATGGACTCTACCGGTCTTTCTGGACATATACACGTTTGCGAAGATACTGCCTACATTTTGCGCAAATTCGGAATAGAATGTGATTATCGTGGCTTGACATTTGTAAAAGGTCTCGGGATTCTACCAACCTATTTTGTGGGCGTTAACGAAGATCACGAGTTTANTATTATTTTTTTTTTATTTATTATTATATTTTATCGTTGTTTCAATACTTTTGCCAAAGTAAGTTTTCCGTTGTGCATCGTCTGACGTCAAGGAGCCGGTACAGTCGAGGGTTGCTATTGCCGTCTCGCTCCCTCGGTCGCGGGATGCCCATTGTCTGTACGCAAATCTATTACTTCCTGAATTCTGATACTGTTGCAAGTGGTGTCAGGCCACTTGTCTCGCAACGCTGACACACTAATCCGCTTTGCGTGGAGCCTAGCGCATGCCCCAACCAGTCGTTCAGTCAGCCAGAAAGCCCCACTCAGCCACCCACACTCCCAGCACGCACACAATGACATCACCATGTTTCTATGCTGTAGTCATTGAACTGTCGCTCGCGAATGCCAGACATTTGCAGGGCTTTCTTAAGACACACGACACGAGATATGTGCATACATATATTTATCTACATACATATGTAATAAATTATGAATGGTCTTTATTGATTGGCTGATTGGAGACAGAAATGCGCGAGCACAACTAACGTTAGCCAACTAGTGACCTTGGTGCCTTGGTTACTCGGCATTAACTTAGATGCAGCCTTTACCCTGTACTTTGTCTTAGTTGAAAATAGTTTTCGAATTCGAGTGTTGTAATGTCCCCAAATAACCATTAGTATTCGTTTGCTGCTGCTCTTGCTCTTGTCTATGGCAACTACTAGAATAAACCTTAAACCATAGACCATTAACTATAAACCATAAACCATAAACCATAAACCATAAACCATACGCCGTAAACCGTAAGCCATAAACCATAAACCATAAACCCTACCATAGTATTGATGTATATTTAGACTGCTTGGTGTCTTGGTAACTAACTCATTGTGTTTTCCATTCTCGCTTCTCGTTTTCGCCGCAGATGAGGAAATCGACGTTGTCTCGCTGAACGATAAGAAGTTGCCGACGAATCCCTCGGACCGCGATCGACGCGTCCTCCAGACAAAGGTGGCCAACAAAATCTCGAGCGACAATCGCATCGTGGCCCAGCGCTCGTCCAGGCGCTATGAGCTGCCCTATACGCCGGCTAGCAGCAGCCCCGTTAAGTCTGTGGCCAACTCTCGCTACCCGTCGCCCTCGAGCACGCCCTACCAGGGCTCAGGCGCAGTGGCAGCCACCTACTCGCCCGAGAGCAGCAGCAGCAGCGACTGCTTAAGTCCGCCCTGCGTCATTGGCGTGGCCCCCATCGGCAAGAAGAACCGCAAGCGCTTCTACATGCCCGACTGCAATGAGTTCTTGCTGGCGGCGGCCAAGCGCCAGCCACGTTCCTATTTGCTCTCCAAACAGCGCCCCCGGAAGCGTGGAAAATTCAGCTCAAACGGCTTCGATGCCAAGGACGTCCGCAGCGTCATGTCGAATGGCAGCAACTGCCCCAGCCTTAGCACCATCACCAGCAGCAACAGCAGCCTCAGCAACGTCAGCAGCAGCAGTAGCAGTAGCAGCAGCAGCAGCAGCAGCATTCATAGTCACAGCCACAGCCACAGCCACAGCCACATCCACATCCATAGCATCAACAGCAACGCGCTGAAACGTCATCTGAGCGTCGACGAGGCGGATACGATTGAGAAGCGTAATCTGCATAACGATATGGAGCGCCAGCGTCGCATTGGACTTAAGAATCTGTTCGAGGCACTCAAGACGCAAATACCCAACATTAGGGACAAGGAGCGTGCGCCCAAGGTCAACATCTTGAGGGAGGCGGCCAGGCTCTGCGAGCAGCTGACCAGCGAGGAGCGGGACCTGAACGTCAAGCGTCAGCTGTTGAAGGCTAAGCTCAAGCAGCAGCAAGAGCTGTTGGCGCGTCTGCGCATGAGTCTGAGTAAGAATGCTGCTGAATGATGATAGCCTTAAGAGAGTAAGAGAAAGAAGAAGGGCAAATGAGGGGAATGGAAGCAAGCGCGGGTAAGATAGGACTACAAGTGAAGAACGTGTTTGCAAGCAATCCATGTTTAGCGGTAACTATCGATAGACCGATAGATTGATAAATCGGTAACGACGACAGTTTGAGACCGATGTAGAGAGAGAGAGAGAAAGAGAGAGAGAGAGAGAGTAGTCGCAAACTGACTACGATTTTTTTTTTTTTTTTTTTTATGTGTAATTTGACGTAGGCTCAGATAAGCATTTTTTGAACTTCAATATCAGATTTTAGTATTAGCCAGTAGAGCGTATGAGCGATCGATCGAACTGTCTCGATATTGATGAGAGATAACAACAGATAACAATGATAATAATTACCATAACGATAATGATGACGATGCAGTCAGATAGTCAGATAGATGATTGCTTTTCTACCGACATTATCTACTGCTTCGGATGCTACAAATAATACATAACAAACGATCGTCGAATAGTATATTTAAACAAAAGCAAATATATGTATATATATATTCGTTTATATAATAAATATAAACATCCTTGAGCTTTCAGC